AAACCTCTGTTCTACGAAGTCCTACATTTGCTGTTGCTGCTGCTGCTGCATTTGCTGCTGTTGCTGCTGCTGCATATGCTGCTGCTGCAGGTTTGCAACTGCATCGAGCGACAAGACAGTAAAGCTGTATGCGTTTTATTTAGAGGAGGTTGCTGATGAGGGGGAAACAAAAAAGCCGAAGAAGAAGAAGTTGCAGCCGCAGCAGCTGGAGCAGCAGCAGCAGCAGCAGCAAGTGTGCATGCGGTGTGAAGGTTCCTTTTCTTTGCCTGATGAGGTTTTAGATGTTGCCTTCGATCCAAAGGGTTTGCTGCTAATGGCAGCACTCATGGACTACACCATCCTCGTTATGCACACAGACACAGGTTTGCTGCTGGTGCTGCTGTTGCTGCTGATGCTGCTGCTGTTTCTGTTGGGCATCTCCTGCTGCTGTCTACCTGTGGCGGTCCTGCATGCGTTGGTGTTGTGTCGGCATCTTACGTGCAGCATTTGCTTAGCTGCTTCGGGTGTGCTGCTTCTACGGCTGCCGTTGCTGCTACTATTCTTGTCCCTGCTGGTACTGCTGTTACTGCTCGGCTTCCCGTCCCTCTTTACTGCTGCTGCTGCTGCTGTTGCTGCTGTTGCTTTTATTTAGGGCGTATTCGTCTCTCCCTCTATGGCCACAAGCTCCCTGTAACAACAATATCCGTTTCTTCTTCGGGCTTACTACTCGCCTCTGGGTCTGTTGATAAATCCCTCAAAGTTTGGGGCCTCAATTTTGGAGAAATCAGAAAAAGTTTCCGAGCCCATGATGAAGCTGTTACTAAAGTAGGGTTTAGGGTTTAGGGTTTAGGGTTTGGGGTTATAAGGGTTTAGGGTTTATGAATGTAACGGGGTGGTAGAGCTTCTTATAAGGGCTCTAAATGTATAACTGTTGGCATCTCGTTTGGTATATCCTCGCGTGTGCGCTCAACGTTTCTTGCATTAGGGTTTAGGGTTTAGGGTTTAGGGTTTGTGGTCTGTATGTATGCAGGTATTATTTTTGCCGATGACGCATTACGTGTTATCTGCGGGTTTAGATGGTTACATAAAGCAATGGGATGCGGATAGGCAGCAGCTAATAAAAGTATTTGCATGCGGTGCAGCAGCAAAAGGAGGAGGAACAGCAGGGGCTCCTTTATTGTCTCTATGTTTATCATCAGATGCAGACGTCTTCTGCTGCTGCGACAGCAACAGACAGCTGCATCTGTGGCGGCGGACGCAGCAGCAAGTGTTTGCTGAGGAGCAGCAGGAAAAACGCCTACTGGAGCAACAGCAGCAGGAAACAGATGCACTTGATGCTGCTGCTGCTAATACTGCTGCTGCTGCTGCTGCTACTGCTGCTTCTGTCGTACTTGATCGACCCACCAAGCGCACAGATGAGACCATTCGGTCTGCTGACCGCCTTATTGAGGTTAGCTTCTGCTGCTGCTGCTGCTAATACAGTTGCTGCTGCTGTTGCTGCTTTTTAGAAGGGACGCCGGTTTGTTCTGCGGCAGGACAAATATCCCGCTGCTTCCTGTTCGGTGCTGCAGTTGTATGCCTGCTGCTTCTATTGATCTTGCTGCTGCTGCTGCTGCTGCTTCTGCTGCTACTGTTCTTCAGGCCCTGCAGGTTGCTAGGGAGCAGCAGGAGGAAGATGATAAGTTTGAGGCTTCGTTCATTCGATGGAGGGATACTGTTGCTGCTGAGGCTCGCCGCGGTGCAGCAGATGCAGCAGCTGCAGCAGCAGCAGCAGCAGCAACACCGCTTCCCGCTCCTCCTCCTGCTAGACCTGAATTATTAGGAAGATCAGCAAAAGAACATCTCTTGCGGTGTATCTGCAGCATCAAACCTGCAGAAGCAGCAGAAGTGCTGCTTGCTCTTCCTGTTGACTATGCACTTCAAGTATGCTGCTGTTGCTGTTGCTGTTGCCGCTGCTTCTGCTGCTGCTGCTGCTGTTGCCCTTGCTAGTGTCGTTGTTGTTAGTTCCGCTGTCCCTGTTGCTGTTGTTCTTGTTGCCGTTGCTTCTGTACACACTGCACTTGCTGCTGCTGCTGCTCCTGTTGCTGCAGCTTTTGGAGTTTTTAACGGATTTGCTTGAGAGGGAGGCAGAGCGCCTTGTGAAGGACAAAAAACAGCAGAATGGAGATCTGCTGCTGCTGCAGCAGCAGGAGGACGAGGAGCAGCTATTGCTGCAGGGGCCCTTGGCAGGCTCGACCGAGGTGGCCGTCCGTTTGGCGCTGCAGCTTGTTCAGTTACACTTCAGGTCAGCAGAAGCAGCAACAACAGTAGCAATAACACAAGCAGCAGCCGCACCACAAGCAGCAACACACCCGTCACCAGCAATACAAGCAGCAGCAGCAGCAGCAGCAGTAGCAGGGGTGTGAGTGTTGTGTGCAGGCTGTTTATTGTCTCTGCAAAAGAGCGATCTCTTCTCGTTCGTCTTCGTGCTGCTGCTCGCCCGCTGCTGCAGCAACAAAGGGTAATTTAATTAATTAATTAATTTTTGTACTTTCCTTTGTTTGTCGTCTTTTTCTGTCTATTAGCGCTTGCTGCTGCTGCTGCCGCAGTTTGTTGCTGCTGCGGTTGTTGCTGCTGTTGGTAGGGTACTGCTGCTGCTGTTGCTGCTGCTGTTCAGGTTGTACTGTTACTTCTGTTGCTGCTGCTGCTGCCTGCAGGACGCGTTGAGGTTTAATTCATCAGCACTTACTGTGCTGCTGCGGTATCTAAAGGGCAGCAGCGCAGACACACTGCAGCAGCTAAAGCAGCAAGTATCTGTTAACCTACAAGCAGGAAAGAAAAGGAAGAAAAAAGCAGCAAATATGCCTCTATTTTAATAACAAATACTCCTGCTGCGGCAGCTGCTGCTGCGGTGGTTGCTGGACATAGTACTAGTCTGCAGCCGCAGCAGCAGTAGCAGCTACACGAGCAGCAACAGGAGCAGCAACAATGTGCTCTGTCTGCCTCTGTCTTTTTTTCTTCTTATTGCCTTTTATATATATTTTTATTTATTTATAATTTTATATATAAAAAGGCAACAAAGAAAGAAAAGAATAACTATTTTATTTACCGACTAAATGTTAATAAAATAAAAATAAAGAAGTATACACGGGCACAAATATATATCTACTTATATATTTATATTTACGTATATAAAAAAATAAATAAAAGAATATGGAGGGAGAGACACGAAGAGACACACAGCCAGATAGATACTTGTACAGCAGCAACAGTAGCAGCAGCAGCAGCAACAGCAGCAGGCGCATGTTTATATTTGCTGCTGTTAACTAATATACGAGTCTATGCAGCACAAGGCGCGCGTCACTTTATTTTTCTTTATGCTCTTATTTATTAAAATAAAAAAATAAATAAATTATTTATTTATTAAATAAATAAATTAAATAGATTAAATAAATTAATTAAATAAATAAACATTTTTTTATTTAATTTATTGCTGCATTCGTTGAATTAGTTATTTGCTAATATTTAATTATTATAATAAAGTATACATATTATATATAAATATAAATGTATTTATATATTTATAACAAAATAAATAATTAAATATAATAAAATAAATAAATAAATTAATAAATAATGCATTTATTTTAATCTAATTTTTTTTTATTCTCTTTTTTGCCAACATTCAAAGACAGCCGGAGAGCGGCTGACAGCCGCCTGTAAACACACTGACAAACGCTGCTGCTGCTGCTGCTGCTGCAGTTGCTGCAGCAGTAGCTGCTACTGCAGCTGCTAGTGTTGCAGTAGCTGCAGATACTGCTGCAACTGCTGCTGCAACTGCTGCTGCTGCCGCTGCTGCAGTATCTGGTGTTGCAGCAGCTGCATATTATAATGCTGCTGCAACGGCTAAACAGAGCAAGCTGCAACTGCAGCAGTGGCTGCTGCAGTTGCTGCTGCATTTGCTGCTGCTGCTGCAGCTACGGCAGCGACTTCCTCTTAAGTTCTGCTAGTGCAGCAGGCAGCAGCAGCAAACCACTAAAAACAGCAAAGGTGCAAAGGACACCAAAGAGGGCATCCCATCCGTAGGCCTCCGATACAGCAGCAGTTAAATTACCCTGCAACACAGCAGCAGCAGCAGCAGCAGCAGCAGCATGAGAAGAAGATGGCTGAATATATGTATTGCTTACCCACAGAGGGAGATAACAGAGGCCGCACTCAGCAGCAAGAACAACAGAGGGCCCCACTGAGCCCGCAAATAGCAGCAACAGCACCAACACAGCAGCAGCAGCACAGCAGCAGGAAGAATGTACCTGTACGAGAGCTCCTATAGCGCCAATAGCATTAATAAATGCTGCTGTTGCTGGTACAGCAGCAGCAGGAAGGGAACGAAGATCAGCAATTTCTTGTGCTGCTGCCGCACCTAATATAGAATCAGGTGCAGCAACACAAAACCCCACAAGCAGCATGCAGAGCAGCAGAACATGCACTTGTTGCTTCTCTGCTGCTGCTGTTGCTGCAGCAGCAGCAGCAGCAGATGCCTCCAATGCTGACAGCTGCTCGTCGTGCTGCTGCTGCAATGCACGCATGTCTTCCTGCTGCTGCAGTTCCAGTCGCAGCAGCTTAACTGACTGGTCACTCGCCTCTGAATCTACTGCTGCTTCTGCTGCAGCAGCAGCAGCAGCTGCTGCTGCTGCTAATGCAGCAGCTGATTCTCCGCGGTGCTCGCCCCGACGCAGTTTGTCCATCTGCTGCTGCGGCTGCTGCAGCTGCTGCGGCTGCTGCGGCTGCTGCTTATCCTCATGCTCCCCTCTCACAGCGCGCAAGGACACTTCGCCCTCCGTATCTGGTATGCCTGCTGCTGCTGCTGCTGCTGCTGCTTGTGGTCCTGTGGCCGTTGCTGCAAGCTTACGTGGGAATGCTGTTGCAGGGAGCTTGGGCTTCTGCCGATTAGGCAGCTGCTGCTGCTGCAGAGGCACTGCCGATTGTTGCTGAGGTTGTTGCTGCGCTTGCTGCTGCAGCGGCTGCTGGGAAGGTTGCTGCTGCTGGGGCTGCTGCACTTGTTGTGGCTGCTGCAACTGTTCAAGCTGCGCCTGCTGCTGAAGGGGCTGCTGAGCAGGTTGTTGCTGCTGCAGGGTTTGCTGCAAGGGTAGCTGCTGCGGTTGTTGCTGCTGCAGTGGTTGCTGCACCGGTTGCTGCTGATGCAAAGGTTGTTGCAATGGTTCCTGCTGACGTTGTTGTTGCTGTAGGGGTTGCTGCAATGGTAGCTGCTGCGGTTGTTGCTGCTGCAGCGGTTGCTGCAGCGGTTGCTGCAGCGGTTGCTGCAGCGGTTGTTGCTGAGGTTGCAGCTGCAGCGGCTGCTGCTGAGGTTGCAGCTGCAGCGGCTGCTGCGGGGGCTGCAGCTGCAGCGGTTGCTGCTGAGGCTGCAGCTGCAGCGGTTGCTGCTGAGGTTGCAGCTGCAGCGGTTGCTGCTCCAACTGTTGCTGCTGCACCTGCTGCTGCAGCGGCTGCTGCAGAGGTTGCTGCTGAAGAGGTTGCTGCTGCGCGAGCTCCTGCGAAAGTTGCTGCTGCTGCAGGGGTTGCTGTAGCGGCTGCTGCAGGGGTTGCTGCTGCAGCAGCTGCTGCTGAGGTTGCTGCTGCAGCAGCTGCTGCTGAGGTTGCTGCTGCAGCAGCTGCTGCTGAGGTTGCTGCTGCAGCTGCTGCTGAGGTTGCTGCTGCTGGAGGGGCTGCTGAGATTGTTGGAACTGCACGGGCTGCTGCTGAAGTTGTTGCTGCTGCAGCGGCAGTTGCTGAAGTTGTTGCTGCTGCAGCGGCAGTTGCTGAGGTTGCTGCTGCTGAAGGGGCTGCTGCAGGGGCTGCTGCTGAGGTTGCTGCTGCAGCAGTTGCTTCGGTTGCTGCTGCGGTTGCTGCTGTTGCTGCGTCAGCTGTGGTTGCTGTTGTTGCGGGAGAGGCTGCTGCTGCGGTTGCTGTTGCTGCAGCTGCTGCTGCATTGGCTGCTGCAAGGGTTGCTCCTGCTGCTGCTGCTGTTGCTGCTGAACCTGCTGGAGCGATGGTGTCTCCTGCCGCAGTTCCAGTGGTGGCTGGTGTTGCGGCGGCTGTTGCACCTGTTGGGGCTGCTGCTGCTGCTGTACTTGCTGGTGCTGCTGCTGCTGCTGTTGCTGTACTTGCTGTGGCTGCGGCTGCTGTTGTTGCTGCATCTGCTGTGGCTGCTGTTGCTGTTGCATTTGCTGCGGCTGCTGTTGTTGCTGCAATTGCTGCGGCTGCGGCTGCTGTTGCTGTTGTACTTGCTGCAGCTGAGGCTGCTGTTGCTGCTGTACTTGCTGCAGCTGCGGCTGCTGTTGCTGCTGTACGTGGTGCAGCTGCGGCTGCTGTTGCTGCAGCTGTGCCTGTTGGGGTGGTGGCTGCTGTTGCTGAACTTGTTGCTGCTGTTCCGGCTGTTGCTGGACAGGCTGCGGCTGCTGCGGCTGCGGTTGCTGCTGCACCTGCTGCGGCAGCAGCTCCTTCTCGTCGTGCTGCTGCTGGTGGTGCTGCACTTCTTGCTGCTTCTTTTGCAGCTCCTGTTCTAGAAGCTGCACTCTGTCAAGCGTCTGCTGTAGCTGCAGCGGCAGCTGCATGCGGGCGCGTTTGTGCTGCTGTTCGAGCAGCACCACGGCTTCCTGCTGCAGCTGCTGCAGCTGCTGCATTGCTGCCTGCTGCTGCAGCTCCTGCTCGTGATGCTGCTCCCTCAGTAACTGCTGCTGCTGACACGACAGCGCCAGCAGCAGCAAGCAAAACCCCGTTGCGAGGCTCATAGTTGCACCGCACGTGAGTCTCCTCCCTGCAGCAGCAACAGCAGCAGCAAACACGGCAAAAAGAACAATATACAGCGACAGCGGGTGTGAGGTGGCAACAGCATCAGAACGTCGCCAGCAGCAACAGTAGCAGAAGCCCGGTACAGCAGCAGCAGCAGAAAAAGGCCAAGACAGCAGCAGCAGTGTAGCAGCACTGTAGCAGCAAGAAACAATGTTGCTTCCAATTATCCAGTACAACAGCAGCAGCAGCAGCCCCAGTATGCGTCAACAACAACAGCCACAAGAAGTCACCTGAGCAGAGTTTATCTGCAGCAAAGCCAGCAGCAACGGCACCCAGCATGCCACCTATATCGAAGGGAATAGATGCAGCAGCAGCAGCAGCAGCAGATAGCTGCACTTGCTGCGCAAGGAAGAAGGGAAGCCACAACAGCAAACTATAACGAATAAGTTTAATAAAGAAGTATGCTGCAGCAGCAAGACATATAAGGGTGCGCGCTTGCTGCTGCTGCAGCAAAACCCCACCGACACGCTGCTTGCTGCTGCTCCCACGGCGCACGCTGCTGCTGCTCCTCTTGCTGCACCTGCTACTGCTGCTGCTGTTGCGGGTGGAACGTAACGGCGTCACTCGGCGCAGACTACGGCTGCTGCTGCTGCTGCTGCTGTTGGCAGAGGGAACCGAAAACATCAGCAGCAGCTGCTGCAGCTGATGCGCTGCAACTGCTGTTGCAGAGCGGGGAGCAGATCCCTGTCCCCTAGGTGGTCCGGCTGCTGTTGCTGCTGCTGCTGGTGGTCCTACTGATAGAGCAGATGCTGCCTCGAACTGCAGCGGGGGCAGCACCGGAGTCCTACATCTGCTTGCTGCCGCTGCACCACCTCCAGATGCGCGCGCAGCCGCCGCCGCCACAGCAGCAGCAGCAGCAGGAGCACGCGGCGTCATGGCTGAGGTGAATGCTGCAGCAGCAGAGTAGTAATATCCATGAATAGGACTTGTATTGCTGCAGCTGCTGGGGCTATTACTGCTGCTGCTAGGACTATTGCTACTGCTGCTGCTGTTGTTGTTGCTGTTGCTGCCGTAGCCGTCAGCAGGTGCTGCTACCTCGGCGGTGGCTAATGTTGTACCTATGCTGCTGCTCTCTCCGGTGCCCCCCATCTCTATGCATGCAGCCTCTTGGGGCTGGAAGCACACGAGGCAATCAGGGGAGTGTACCTGCTGCTGCAGCAGCTGCAGCTGCCGCTGCTGGTGCTGCTGCTGTTGCACTTGCATTTGCTGCTGCTGGTACTGCTGCTGCTGGTGCTGCAGCTGTTGCTGCTTACCCAAGTCCCATAACTCCTGATCCTGTTCCTCATCCAACTCTCGCTGCTGCTGCTCCTGGCTATCTGCTGCTGTTGCGGCGTCCTCGAGACCTTCGAGTTCTTCTTGCTGCTGCTGCTGATACCGCATGGCCTTCTGGCTGCTCCATGGCAGCAGATACAGCAGCAACAGAGAAGTTGCTGCTGCTGTTGCAGCAGCACAAAAGAATACCTGACGCCAGCCTAGTGCTGCCTCCACTAATGCAGCGACAGCAGTGGCAGCCATAGCCCCTGCAGCACCAAAAGCAGCATCAGCAGCAGCAGCAGCAGCAGCATGGTTGCAGTTCGAACACATAACGCACACCAGCAGCAGCAGAGAGACACGAATTACGAGCTGCAAAGCCCCACAGCAGCAGCAGCAGCAGCAGCAGCAGCAGCAGGGGCACAAAGTTAGCAGTATCCGCAGAACCACCGCCTGGAACAGCAACAGCAGCTGCAACAGCAGCAGCAGTACCTGTTTGCTGTGAAGTTGTCCATAGGCCAAGTGCTGCTCCTCTATTCTCTGGTTTAACAGCAGCAGAGACATACTGCAGCAGCAGCGGGAAGAGGGGCGCATGCACCAGTCCATTAAATCCCCACAGCAGCAGGAGGAGAAATCCGTTGCTGCTGCATCCAAATGCTGCTGTTGCTGCAGCGGAGAGGAGGAAGCATGCTGCGGTGAGTGCAGCAAACTTTTTCTGCGGTACAGCAGCAAGTAGAAGGGGCAGCAGCAGCTGCCCTGCTGCATAACAGCCTAGGAATGCGGTGTCTATACACCCTAATGCATGCAAAGAAAGCCCCAAAGATTTATTCAATGCCCCCTTAACAACACTTAGTGGCTTTCTTGTGCTGTATAAAGAAGAATAAGCAAAATAAGTTACTAAAAAGACTGGCCAACCCTCTATAGACACAGGAAGCAACTGCAGCAGACCCTTGCATGCATGCGTAGGCTGTTGCTGTTTTTGCTGCGAAGATAACGAAGGAAATGATGCTGATGATGATGTGCTAGGAGCAGCTGAACGAGCAGCAGCAGAGTCGCGAGGAAGCAGCTGCTGCTTCTCGTGCTGCTGCTGTTGTTGCTGACGACGGCCTGGCTGCCAATACACCTCAGCTGATTCAGAGTCCGAGCTTCCTTGCTGCTGTTGCTGCGGTTGCTGCTGCTGCTGTTGTTGCTGCTGTTGCTGCTGCGATCTGCGGAGGCAGCTCGTTCGCTTGCTGCTGCTGTGTGCTGGTACAGGGAACAACGCACGGTTGCTGCTCCAGCTTAGGAGGCTGTCATTGCTGCTGCTGCGGTTGCTGCTGCTGCTACTTATGTTCCTGCTGCTGCTGCTGCTGTTGCTACCGTTGCGGCTGCCGAGACGTCTATGGAGCCTCCCCCTGCTATATAACACACCACAGACACACGGCAACTCGACACCAAAACTCATGCTGGTGCTGCTGGCACTGATGTTGCTGCAGCAGCAGCTGCTGCTGCTGCATACACTATGATTATTCTGTTGCTTCTGTAGATGCTGGTGCTGCTGCACTAACCTGTAGCGCTGCGGGAGGGAGCGGCTGCTTGCTGCCCCCAAAGGAATCATCTCCCTAGCAGCACCCGCAGCTAAGACGGCTGCAGCAGCAGCTAAAACTGCAGGAGCAACGTCAGCAGCAGCAAGGGGGCGCCTTGGCGCCTGAAGACGAGCTGCTGCTGCTCCTGTTGCTGCTGCTGCTGCTGTGGTGCTGCTAAGGAGCACGTCGGCATGGGGTCGGCTGCAGTCTCTCGAGTGTGCGCAGCAGCAGCATGCTGCTGCTGCTGCCGCTGCAGTGTGTGCCGCTCCTCCGGCCAGAGGTTGATCTTCTGCTGCTTCTGTTGTAGTTGCTGCTGCTTATGTTGTAGCTGCAGCTACTGCTGTTCTAGCTGCAACTGTTGCTGCTGCTGCACTTGCAGCCCGGGCCGCAGGCAGTGATGCTCGTACTGCTGCAGTTAGCTGCTGCAGCAAGCAGATTCTTCAGTTTATAATAATTTGTCTTTTTATGCCAAGCGCAAACGAGGAGTCTATGATCTGCTTCATCAAAGTCACTGCAGCAGCTGCAGCTGCTGCTGCTGCACTGCTGCTGTTGCTGCTGCTGCTGTTACTCCCGCATGCAGCAACAAGAGCAGCAGCTGGAGCCCAAACAGCTATATTTCTTAGCCGATATATCTTATATGTGCTGCTGTTTATTTATGACTTTGAATCCATACCTGTCTGCTTCGCAGCAGCAGCAGCAACTGGAGCATCAGCAGCATCAGCAGCATCAGCAGCAATGGCTGCAACAGTAACAGCAACAGCAACAGCAGCAGCAGCGGCTTGTGTTGGTTATAGACCCAAATGTCACATAGTAAATTGCAACTGTCGTCTTCTATAAATTTTCCTTTCTACTGCTTGTGTTCGCTGCTTCTGTTGTTTCTGCTGTTGCTGCTCATGCTGTTGCTTTCGCGGCCGTTGCTGTTGCTCCCAGTGATCGTTCTTCCGTTCATCTTGCTGTTGCTGCTGTTGTTGGTGTTGGTGTTACTGCTGTTGTTGTTATTCCTGCTGCTGTTTATCTTGTCTGTGCTGTTCTTGCTGCTGTCGTGGGTGTTGCTGCTGTTCCTGCTTCCGTTGTTGTTGTTTTCATTGGTGAGGTGTAGTGCTCTCCGCCTAACGGAGGAACAAACCCTAAACCCGAAAACCCGATACAGTAAAACGCTAAACCCTAAAGCCTGAAGCCTAAAGACCCTAGACACTAAGACCCTAAACCCTGTGCTCGAGACTCAAAACCCTAGGTCGTAGGACCCTAGACACTAAGGCCTAAACCCTAGACTCGCGACTTTCTAAGCCCCCATATATGGGGGTTGTAACCACAAACCCTTCGGGCATACTCAGCCGGCTGTGTGAGGGTTTAGGGTTTGGTAGAAGACAACAACATGGAGGTAACCGCGACAAAACTATCAGCAACCAAAACTTGAGCTGTTCCTTAGCTCTAGAACCAGCAGCATGAAGTTTGCTGCGCGTTACGATGCATGCAACAGCAGCAGCTGCTGCAGCAGCAGCTTCTGCCTTTCCAGCTGTTGCATTGTAACGAATCCCTTTGTAGCTACCACAACAGCACCGCGATGCAGCCGCCACCGCAACAACAGCAGCAACAATCACAGTAGAGGCACATAGTTGCGTGCAGCAGCACCAACAGCAGCAGCAACAGCGCAAACACCTGCTGCTGTCTCCTGCCAAACGGGCAACCCTAGCAGCAGCAAATGACGCTGCTGCTGCTGCTACTACTGCTGCTACTACTGCATGCATGCATGCATACATCTAGTGTATGTGTGCCTGCCGCTGCAGCAGCTGACGCTGCGCCTGCTCGTATTGCTCGGCTAAAGCCGCAGGCACTGCAGCTCCTGGCCTCAACTCCGCCTGCAGCGCAAGCAATAACAGCAGCATCAAGAGTAGGGGCACTAGCATTTTCACCGGGAGCAGTGGCGTCTTAGTAGATACAACAGCAGAGGTGGTGAGGAAGCAACAGTACAGCCACACCAGGAGCAGAAACAGTAGCAGAAACAAAAACAACAACAACAGCAAACTAACCTTCACTACATCATTTTCCCTAACGTCGTAGTCCAGTGGGCATTTGCTGAGGTTTATCTGAACCGTATACTGTTCTCGCTGCAGCAGAAAACAGCAGAAGCAGCAGCAGCAGCAGTTGACAACAAGAGCAGCAACAGCAGTGGCAGCAGCACCAGCAACACTCCAGCAGCAGCAGTGATAACAATGTAATCATCAGCAGCAATAGTTGCTGCTAGAACTACAATCCCTTAATGCCACACGTAGTGCAACAGCAGCAGCAACCGCTCGGCAGGACGTACAGAATAAAATAGCAGCAAATCCCCTTCGGCAACCCCCACATTTCTGCTGTAGCTCTCAGAGAGCCGCCTGTCAATACACAGCAGCCGCAGCAGCAGCAACAGCAGCAGCTACTGAAGCAGCCCCAGAGGAGGGCCTCTAGCGTGTATGAGGGCCAACACCAGGCGGAAAACTACCAACTAGGGCTTAGGGTTTAGGGTTTACGAGAAGGGTGTCATCATGCTGGCATTGAAACGCAAACGCGGCAGATACGGAGCCTCCTCAGAGCCTGCAGATAACAAACACTAAACCCTAAACCCTAAACCCTAAACCCCCCCAAACCACCATAAACCCTCACAAGCCCCAATCTATACATCAAAACCCTAAACCCTAAACCCTTATTTCCAAGCAGGATCCTCTACTTGAAGCTAACACCAACCCTACTATAAATGCTCGTTAACCCTCCAAACCCTCTCACACCCTCGTCCCTCATCCGACGCCCCCCATTAACAGTTGTATAGCAGCAGCAGAGAAATACTAAACTCTAATAAAGAATAAAAAACCCTAGATAGAGAAGAAAAGCCCTAAAGAAATACCTTCAATAAAGAGAGAAATCCAAACCTTTTGCGCATATTGCAAAGATGGCCTAACCTCAGCAAAGAGCTGCAACTGCCCTCGCTGCATGCGATAATCCAACGGACTCAAATCGGGCAGCAGCTGCACAGAAAAACCATAAACCCTAAACCCTAGAACCTCAGAAACAAAAAAGTACGAAACAAACCCTAGGCCGTCCGTCACTGCAGCAGACTCTTGAGCGCCTAGAGATAAGCTCAACTATCCAGTATGATAATTAACGGCTCTGACGGCTTCCATTAGGGTTTAGGGTATCCGCATTAGGGTTGAGGGTTTCTATTATAGTTTTGGGGTGTGAATTAGGGTTTAGGGTGTGAATTGGGGTTTAGGGTTTACCCGTGTAACAACTTTTCTTTTTATCCAGAGGAACTCCACGACGTCATCCCGCAGGCCCGCTTGGTCCTTGTAGTACCTCATGAGCTTCCTGCGCCAAACCCTAAACCCTAAACCCTAAACGTTAATAAACCCTGATAAACCCTAAATCCTAAGAAATTACGGGAAACACTATATAATAGACACAAGAGGGAGACCACAGCACAAGCAGCTGCAAAGCTGCATACACTTGCATGCAGTGGAGGTGCAATTAGGGTTTAGGGTTTACAGGCGGCCGACCTGAACGGGACAGCAAGGGGCATTCGATAGGTTAGCGGGGTTTGCGTAAGCCCATGAACATACACGTCCAGCTGCGCCATTTGCCCAGTTGCTGCTGCTGCTGCTGCAGCTGCTGCTGCTGCTGCAGCTGCTGCTGCTGCTACATCGGGAGGCGGGGCGCCGCCAGCGGCTGAACCCCAAACCCCCTGCAGCACGCGGTCATCCCACGGCCGTTCTGCTGCTGCTGCAGCAGCTGCTGCTGTTGATGGAGGGCCCCCACCTGCTGCTGTTGGCAACGACGCATCTTCTACAGCGCCCGCCGCGGCAACAGGAGGAGGAGCCTCCTCCTCAGCACCAGCAGCGGCACCAGCAACAGCTGTTGCTGCTGCAAATGCATGCGTGTCGCTGCGTGGGGTTAGAGAATTACGCGGAGATGGCGAGGCCTCTGTTGTCCCTGACGGACTGTTTGGTTGCTGCTGTTGCTGCTGTTCTTCCTGCTGCACCGTTGTTATTGGCAATCGGCCGCGCCTCTCTCCGCGCAACACAAACTGCTGCCGTAGATACACTGCGCGACTTTCCGCTGCTGATGCTGCGCCATGGGATGCATTCAGGGTTTCGTCCTCCAGAGGCTGCCGCTGGTGTTGCTGTTGCTGTTGCTGTTGCTGCTGTTGTTCCTGTTGCTGCTGCGCCTGGTGCTGCTCCTGCTGATCGGGCAAAGGGGATGCCACAGTGGAGGACGTGGAAGTGTTTAGCTGATGCAACAACTGCTGCTGCTGTTGTTGCTGCTGCTGTGCTGGCTGGCCCCGCGGTTGCTGTTCGTCCGGGTCCTGCTGCTGCTGCTGCTGCTGCACCTGCTGTTGCTGCGGCTGCTGCGGCTGTTCCTGTTCGGGCTGCAACGCCTGGTGTGTTGCCTCCGGCATATCCAGAAGCAGCAGCGAGTGAGCTGCTGCAGCTGCAAAAGCGCATCACCGCAGCACAAGCAGCAGCAGCATCGATAAGTGCCGCGTTGCAAATAAGCCAGAATGAGCAGCAGGAGCAACAGGAGCACCACCAACAACAAAAACAGTCCCTACAGTAACTAGATCCGACATAGAAGCAGACTCACTGTTCGCTGCTGCAGCATCAGCAAATCGACGGAGGAGGGGCAGCAGCGAATTTGCAGCTGCTGCGCCTGAAACTCCAGCGGATGGTAGTACTGCTGTTGTTACTGCTGTTGCTGCTGCTGTTCCTGCTGCTGCTGCACTTGCATGTGCAGCAAGAGGAGGTCTCGGCTGAGACAAGATGCTGCGCACCTGCTGCACGATCATCGGCTGCTGCAGCAGCACTTCTGGGTGCCACAGCCCTCGATGCTGCAGCTGCTGCTGCAGTGTTGCCATTTGCTGCTGCAGAAGCAACGCATCTTGAAGCGTCTGGTTGCCTCCTGCTCCGTGCGGCTGTTGCTGTTGCTGTTGCTGCAGTTGCTGCAGTTGGTTTCGTATTGACGGCAGCTGCAGGAGCTGCTGTAACCGCTGCAATGTCCGCTGGTGGGCCGAAGCAACGCTCCTTTGTATTAACTCGAGTTGCTGCTGCTGCTGCTGTTGCTGTAACTGCTGGTGCTGCTCTGGTTGATGCAGCTGCTGCAGCAGCAGCTGCTGCTGCAACAGCTGCTGCCTCGAGCGCATTTGTTGCTGAGGCCTCACGGAAGGGTGCGCCCAGCTATCAGGCTGCTGCTGCTGCACGGAGTCGAGGACGAGCTGCTGCTGCTGTTGCTGCTGTTGCAGTTGTAGCTGTTGCGGTTGCTGTTGCACTGGTTGCAGTTGCTGCTGGTGCCCCTGTTGGATTTGCAAATCTGGCCGCCGCTGTTGCTGCTGTTGCTGTTCGAGCTGCCTCGGCCCCCTGAGGGCAAGCAGCTGCTGCTGCTGCTGCTGCTGTTGCTGCTGTTGTTGCTGCTGCTGTGCCTCGGGGCGTGGGGTGTGCGCGGAGGGGAAAGCAGCATTGGACTGGTCCTCAGTTAATACCACAACTTCGGGCTTCCTGCCTGCAGGAACAACAAGAGCAGCAACAGCAGCAGGATGTTGCTACGCAACAGCAGTAGCAGCACTTGCAGCAGCAAACGGAAGAGGCAGACGGATGGCTACAGCACAGGGGCCACGGAGTCGGAGAAGAATTAAATAAAGCAGAGAGAGATAAAAGAAGAGAAATAAGCAAAAAGGAAAAAAGATAAAAAGCCGGAGAAAGTAGAAACAGCAAATGGTGAGGACCTAACAAAAGGAAGCAACGGGAAGAAGAAAAAAGACAAGACAAACAAATAAACAAAGACATACAAATGACGTGTAATATATACAACTATATAGATATTAAATAATGAATATATATAGTATATAATAGATTTGTGCATCGTATAAACAATAAAATAGGTAATTATTGTTACATTTATATCATAAATAATTAGCATTAGCAACATCATCATAAGCAGCAGCAACAACAACAGCAGCAGTAGCAACAGCAGGAGTTACCAAATGCCCTGGAGACAGATTTGGCAAGATTAGAATATGCCCCAACAGAAAAAATAAATCGACGAGCCTCCTCGCTAACAGCAGCAACAAACTGAATTGCCTGTAGCAGCAGAGGCAGCAAATGCAGCAACACGAGTTATTTTAAGACTTCCATCAATATAAGCACCCAACTAACAACAGCAAAAAGCCGCCAACACCAGCAGAAAGTTGTCCTTCTGCCGATGCAGCATCATCAACATCATCATCATCAGCAGCAGCAGCAGAAGCACCAGGAACATTAGCAAAAGACACACTAGCATCGTCAGAAGGATAAACAATAATAATAATCAACACCATCAGCAGCAAAAGCAGCAGCATCAAAGACAGCAGCAAATGCAGCAGCAACAGCAGCATCAGCAAGAAAATTTCTTACAAGAGGTGATACAGATCCTGGTGTAGTAACAGCAGAACAATCGATCTGTCTAGCGAGTTGAAGGAGAGGTGAAAATAAAGTCAATCTTGGAAAATCTAAATCTTCTTCTTGCAATTTCAAACTTGCACTGTAACGATTTAATACTGCAGCACTGCAGTGGGCTCGGCACACCTGTATACAACCATCAGCAGCAGCAACAGAAGGAAAAACAGTAGCAGCAACAAGAGGAGCAAAGGCAGCAGGAAATGAAGCAGTAGTACGAGGAACAGGAGCAGCAACAGCAGCAGCAGCAGTCAATCAGTACACACGACACACATGAAACCGCGACTAACTCTCGTGTCGATGCTGTTGTTGCTTCTATTGCTGCTCGAGGTGCTGCTGCTCCATTGGCTACTGCTGCTGCAGCTAATGCAGCCGCAGGTGTTGCTGCTGCTGCTGCTGCTGTCTCGTACCTGTCGAAATACGAAAAAGTCTGGGATGGTTAGAAAGCAGCAAATTTCCCCAAGAAGAGCCGCGGACAACCCCAAGCGTCTTTTCCCTTGCTGCTGCTGCTGCGGGTGGCAGCAGCCGAGGCAGTTGACCATTGCTTCTTTTGAATCTGCGAACGTTAGCAGCGGCTGCTGCCGTAGCAGAGGGATGTGGACATAGCGCCTGCACACAGAGACTACTACTGTGGGCTGCTGCTGCAGCAGCTGCTGCTGTTGCTGCTGTTGCTGCAGCAGCTCCTGCCTCCCTATATCACCTACCACGCCGAGCCGCTGCAGCTGGTTCTGCTGCGCCTGTTCCCCAACGTGCATCTGCCGTTGACGCTGTTGCTGCTGCTGTTGTTGCTGCTGCTTCTGCTGTTGGCGCTCTTGCCGCCGCAGGCGACGGCCAGTCTGCTGCGCAGCAGTTCGGCTGTGCTGTTGCTTTGGTTGTTGTTGCTGCTGCTGTTGTTGCTTTGTAGTTCCCGCAGCTCCAACGTGAGGGATGGGTAGCATAATTCCAGCAGAACTGTTGCCGTTGTTGCTGCTGCCGCAATTACTGCTGTCGTTGATGCTGACGGCAGCCTGCGTTTTGCTGCAAGGCGAAGTCGGCGGCTTCCGCGGGCTTGCAGCCGGTGCAGGGCTGCTGGTGCTGCTGCTGCTGGTGCTGCTGCTGGTGGTACCGTTGAGTTCGGCAGCAGCAGCAAGCACTGCAGCAGCAAGCCGCTTGCGTGCTGCAATTGCTGCTGGAGGGAAAGACAAAGGAGAGGGAGGCTCAGGTGTAGGAAGACACTTTGCTTGTGGGGGAGGGGGAGCCCGATGCAGCCGCCTAAGCCCTCGTGCTGCTGCTGTTCCTGCTGCTCCTCCGCCTGTGGAGGTTGTCGTTGCTGCTGGTGCTGCTGCTGCTGTGGCATCAATTGGTGAGTCTTGCTCTCCTGCGTCTTCGTCGCGTGCTGCTGTTGCTGTTTCTGCGGCTGCTGCTTCTGCTGATGCGCGCGCCTGCCATTGCTGCTGCCGCAGCCGCAGCGGCAGCAGCGCAGAAGCTGTTAGACGGCCGTGAACAGATTTAGCAGTCGCGGCTGCGGGTGCCGGCGCTGCTGGTGTTGCTGCTGCTGCTGCCCTAGCTGCTGCCCTCGGTGATGGCCTACAAGGCACCATCGTTATCGAGAAAGGACTGCTGTCGCTGTCGCTGCAGAGGGCGCAACTGCTGCTGCTGCTGCTCCAGATGCTGGGGCTTGTCTCTGCATGCCTCTCTGCATCGCTAGTGTCGCTGCTGCTGCTGCTGCTGCTATTGCTGCTGTTGCTGCCGTTGCTGCGCAGGCTACGACTCCCCTCATCCAACGGATGCTGCCGGCGATGTTGCTGCTGCTGCTGCTCTCGCGACGGCTGCGCACTGGGCTGCCGCTGCGCTACCGACTCTCGAAAGTGCTGTTGCAGCACCTGCTGCTGCTGCTTCTGCTGCTGTGGCTGCAGTGGGAAAGGGGGAAATGTGCTGCGGTCAGAGGAGTCCAGCAATAGAGGAGATGACACGAGCTCGTTGACCATCTGCTGCTGCAGCTGCATGCGTTGCAGCAGCCTCCGAAGCTGCAGTAACAGCTGCTGCTGCTCTTGCTGCTGCTCCCCCTGCTCTTGCGCAACAGCAGCAACACCTGCAGCAGCAGATCCAGAGTGCTCACCCTTTCCCTCCAGGTGCTGCCGTCTTGGAGAGGGCTGCTGCCGCGGCCGTTGCTCCTGTAGCGGCTCCTGCTGCCGCTGCTTTTGCTGCATCGGCTGCTCCTGTCGCTCCCGTTGCTCCTCCTCTTGCTGCTGCTGTTGCGGCAACGCAAGGACAGGCAACAGCCGGAAGGATTCTAGGCAGAAGGAGTTTACCTGGGGCGGTGGCTGCTGCTGCTGCTGCAGAAGAGCAGCAGCAAGTCCTGGCCTTGCGCCTGCTGCTTGTGTCATGCGTCTCCTCTCTGCTGCAGGGCTTGAAGGAGCAGCAGAATTTGTCGCTGCAGCAGGTGGAACTGCAGTAGCATCGCTGGGCTGCACGGAAGCAGCAGCGGCAGCCGCAGCAGCAAGAGCAGCTGCTGCTAGCACTGGCCCAAAGCCAGCAACGCCCCCAAGGCCAACAGCATTCACTGCTCCTGCTGCTGCCGATGCTGCAGCATTTGCTGCAGCAGCATTCGGTGCTGAAGAGTTTTGCGCAGCAGAATTTGCTACAGCAGCGTTTGTTACAGCAGTGTTTGTTACAGCACCGTTTGTTACAGCAGCGTTTGCTTCAGCAGCGTTTACTGCAACAACGTTTGCTGCAGCAGGGTCTGCTGCAGCAGGGTCTGCTGCAGCACGGTTTGCTGCAGCAGACCCTGCTGCGGCGGGGCTTGTTGCTGCAGCGTTTGCTGCAGCGCCCTCTGGTGTTATCGTAGTTGCTGTTGCTACCGTTGCTGTGGGCTGACGGGCTGCAACAGCTGCTGCTGCTGCAGCTGCTGCTGCAGCTGCCCCTGCTCTTGTCCCCCGGATCCCTAGGGCATCTGCTGTGGCGAGCATGAGCTGCTGCTGCTGTTGCTGCTGTTGCTGCTGGGTTCGCTGCTGTGGCTGCGGCTGGGGCTGCTGCTGTTGGGTAGGGAGCATGATGGTGGTCGGTGCATAGACACACACACAAGAACCAGCAAATTCGCTATGCATGTACTGCTGTAGCAGCTGCTGCTGCTGTTGCTGCTGCTGCCTCCAGAACAAAGATAAGCTGTCCTGTAGGGCGCGAGCCTCGCCTTGTTGCAGCGCCTGCTGTTGCTGCTGCAGAAGCTGGTGCTGCTGCAGCATGGACCGCAGGAGGAACATGCGCTGCTGCTGCTCCCGCTGCTCCGCTGTTTGCTGCTGCTGCTGCTGCTGCGACAGCTGTACAGCTTGGAGCTGCCTGCGCGCCGGCACCGCTTGCGACTGCAGCAGATGCCGCTGCTGCAGATGAAATGCCATTAGCAGCTGCTGCTGCAGTCGCCACTCTTCCGAGTGTCTAGACAGGAGAATGCTGCTGCTAATAGGGAACGGAGGCCCAAAGCCAACAACAATCCTCATGGGGTTGCTGCCGCTGCTGCTTTTCGTGCTGCTGCAGCCGCAGCGCGGCTCTCGTGTGCTGTTTTTGCCGCAGCAGCTACAGCAGCTGCTGGTGTTGTTGCAGCGGCAGCGCAGGGAGAACATAACAGCGTGACGGTTGGGAATCATAAAGGCTCTGTTCCGAGCTGCTACACTACTGCTGCCGCAGCTGTTGCTGCTGCTGCTTCTCGTGGCCACATCGCCGACCTGGCGCTGCTGCCCGGGTGTGGTTGCTGCTTGGTGCGCAGCACCAGGGTCGGGTGCTGCGCCAAGGACATGCACGGGGGCAGATGTATCTCCAGCATCTGCAAGAACAGCAGCAGCAGCAGCATCAAACTCCGAGGACCCCACATCGGCAGCAGCAGCAGCTGCTACTGCGGCTGCTGCACTGGTGCTGCTAATGCTGCTGTTGTTGCCGTTGCTGCTGATCCCGCCGTTGCCGTTGCTAACCCCTGGTAGCCCGTCATTCCGCGTGACGCAGAGCAAGAGTGGGGAGGAAGCAGAGGGCAGCACGCAGCGATTTGTCGCAGCAACAGCGTACAAATGGCTCTCCGCTGCACTCAGCGGAAGCTGCTGCTGCTGCTGCTGCTGCTGCTGGTCTCCAGACAGGTGCCGAAGCCACTGGCGAACGTTTAGCAGCGTCAAGGGGCCAAGCTGAAGACTTTCCTGAGGCGGCCACACGGGTGCCGCAGCCGCACCCGCAGATGGCTGTGCTTCTAGCTCTGTGGCTGCTGCTGCTGTTGCTGCTGCCTCTCCTGACGATGGCAGTTCCTGTTCAGTTTTCTCCGTCTTCACTTGCCCACTGCCTCTAGGACATGCCACGCCGTTGCTGCTGCTGCTGCGGCAGCTGCGAGGGGGTGGCCTTGCAATCGGAAGAACCAGGGGGGAAGGCGCCGCTGTTGAAGCAGCAGCAGCAGCTGCTGCTGCTAATCGTTTGCTGCTGCGCAGTCCTGAACCCGTTGGCGTGCAGACACAGCTGTCCGCGCCTCCGGCCTCAGCTGGAGTTGTTGCTGCTGCTGTTGCTAGTGGCCGCTTCTTTCGAGGCACCACAGCAGCAGGCACTGGAACGCTGGCAGCAGCACCGCCCGGTGCTGCTGCTCGCGGGCTGCCGCTCCTTGCTGCTGCCGTGGGAGGCTCCATAGGGGCCGACTGACTGTGGTGGGCTGCTGCGGCAGCATTCGGAGAAGGCAAATCCTGCTGCTGCTGTTCCTCCTGCTGCTGTTCCTGCTGCTGCGTCCAGTGCGTCTTTGGCGATGACGCTCCTTTGCTATCTGAAGACGAGAAGCAGGAGCAGTCGCTGCTGCTGCTGCTGCTGCCTGACACGACGCGAAGCCACATGAGGCTGCACCCATCACAACAGAGACGCGACGGCCGTCCCACAAATTCGGTGTCTGTCATTGCTGCCGCTGCCGCCGCCGCTGCTGCTGTTGCCGCTGATGCTGCTGCTGCTGCTGCTGCCGCCGCTGACGCTGCTGCTTCCGTAGCAGGCGACGACTCTCCGGTGCCGGCCGGTGCCTCTGCAACTTGCTGCTGTTGTTGCTGCTGCTGTTGTTGTTGCTGCTGCTGCGGCTGCTGCTGCGGCTGCTGCTGCTGCTGCTGGCGCTGCTGCTGGGGGGCACGCCTTGGCCAGAGGTACTGCCTTAGCCGCGGCTCATTAGAGAGCAGCACTAGCTGCTTCGCATGCAAGCCAGCAGCAGCAGCAGCAGCTAATGTTGCTGCTTCTCCTCCTGCTGCTGCCTTCAGCAGCAAGTGTCTGTGGGCCATCAGTGCAACCATTAATAAGCCACGGACAGAAAATGTGGGGTAGCTGTTCTCCCACGTGCTCAACGATATCAAGCTCCTGTTGCTGCTGTTGTTGCTGCTGTTACTGCTGCTGCTGCACGGAAACAGACCTCCGCCAGCACCAATCACACGCCAACCCCTGCCAGAGCTGTTGCAAAAAGTGCAGGTGCTACCGTTGCTGCTGCTGCCGCAGGTGCAACCACCACGACCTGCAGCAGCAGCAGCAGCTGCTGCTGCTGCTGCTGCTCGTGACTGAACACCTGGGAGCAAGAAAGGCGCCCTTGCTGCCGAACCTTTGCTGCCATCATTCTCGGAGCCTGCTCCGTTTCCAGCTGCTGCGGTGTCTGCTGCTGCTGCTTCTGTTGCTGCAGCAAGCTCCACAGCCTCCACTAGTAAAGGCGAGGCCAAACAGATTGCCTGCCCCTGTCCAACCACCACCGGGTGTCTGCACAAGCAGCAGCAACAGGAGCAACAGCAACAGTGTTAGCAACGGCAAAAACAACCGAGCGAACAAAACAACCACAGCAGCAACAACAAAGATATCCACCGCAACAACAAAAACATTAGGAGGAACAACAGCAACGGCGGTAGCAGCAGCAGCAGCAGCAGCAGCAGAGCGGCGCACTTGGAGTTGTCATGCTGGCAAGGATACTTAAGGCGACGAGGCAGCAGAACGAGCAGCACAGGCTCGAGAGAGGGTTCGCTTGGAGATGAGAGCTGCGGCGGCAGCAACAGCAGCACAGAAGCAGCAGCACGGACAGCAGCATGCATAGCAACGGGAACCGTCCAACGCACTCGCACAACGTGTTGCTGCTGCCCTTCTGCTGCTGCACCTACTAATGCATCTGCTTCTGCTGTCGCTGCTGCAGCGGACGGTGCTGTTGTTGCTGCTACTTACCATGTGAGCTATGTCTTGCAGCGACATCCAGTCCGAAGGCGCTGAGAGAGGCAGCGAGTGGTAGTGTATATACAGCACACGAGACAGCAGCAAAGGCACCTTCAACGCTGTGCTGCTGCTGCTGCTGCTGGTGCTGCTGCTGGTGCTGTTGCCGCGGCTGCTGCTTGCTGCACCATCGAGTCCTATTTCCTCTGAAGCAAGCCTTGCTGCTGCCGCACAGCAACGGAGCACGGCTCCTTCCGATGCTGCTGCGACAGCTGCTGCATGTGCTGCCCCCTTGAGACCTGCTGCATCAGCTGCTGCGGCTGCAGCAGCCGCAGCAGCAGCTGCAGGTGTTGCCGGCTTTGTTCCCGTAGCTGCTGCTGCATCAGGGTGCATCGGGAAAGCAGCAGCTGCTGCAGGTTCCTGCGACGTGTTGCTGCAGCCAGTGCTAGTGTTGCTACTGGCGCAACGATCTGCTGCAGCCGCTCCTGCTGCTGCTGCTGCAGCAGCGGCAGCAGCAGAGATACCCTTCCCCGAGGGAGTCCGAAGAGGCTGTGCTGCTGCTGCCGAACTGGGACTACATGCGTCAGTATCAGCAGCAGCAGGATCAGCTGCACCTGCAGCAGCATCAGCAACAATTGCGTGTGCTGCTTCCCATTCTTCTACTCTCCTCTGTCCTATCGCCCCCAAAGCACAGAGGCCAGAATCCGTAAATAAATCTGCTGCTGCTAGCTTCGCAGCAAAACGAGGAAGACCTAGCAGCAGAAGCAGCTGCAGCAGCTGCTGCAAGGCGAACGCATGCAGCACGCGATACTCCTGGCAGCGGCGCTGCTGTTGCTGCCGCTGCTCTGCTGCAACAGCGGCAGCTGCATTTGCGGCAAGAGGAGGAATAAGGGAAACAGGACTGTCTAGCAGCACAAGATGAGGCGATGAAGGCGGCGGCTGCTCCTGCCGCTGCTGTTGCTGTCTCTGCTGCTGCTGGAGACGCAGCAGCCGCTCGTGCAGCTGCCGCAGCAGCTCGTGCTGCTCGAACAGTAGCACATCTTCCTGCTTCCACTGCAGCAAGACACGAACATCGGAGCCTGTCAGCAGCAAACTGCTGCTGCTCTTGAGGCGCAACAAATTAAACTCGAGTCGTTTTTCTGCTGCTGCCGCCGCCGCAGCTGCTGCTGCCTCCACACATGCTGCTGCAGCCGACGTGCTTGCACCCAGTGAGGGACGGCGACGCGCCCTAAAGGAGGCGGCACGGCCTGCTGATGCTGCTGACGCTGCCGCTGACTCATCCGCGGATTCTGCCGGTGCCCCGGGAACCCCATGTGCTGCTGCTGCGTCTGCAGCTGCTCCTCCTGTTGCTGCTGCCCCTGTACTGCAGCATTCGTACTCAGAAGCAGCGTGTTGTATGCTGTTGCTGCTGTTGCTGCTGCTGCTGCCAATGCTGCTGTAGATAGCTCTGCTGACTACAGGTGCTGCAGCAGCCGACCCTGCAGCAGTGGACGCAGCAGCAAAGCCTCGGGCTGCTGCTGCTGCGTCGCAGTCAAAGGAGGCAGCAGCAGCACGCATGCGGACGCCAAGTGGAACGCATGCAATGCCGCCTGCTGCAAGGGACCTGCTAATATGGAGGCTGCTGCTTGCTGCTGCTGCTGCCTGTAGTGGATCTGCTGCTGCCGTTCCTACTGCTGCCGCTGCTGCAGTGCCGGTCTGCGCCTCCCGTGCCGCCCGAGCAGCAAGCCGCATGCAAGCATCTGCTAGCTGCAGCTGTTGCTGTCGAATGGTGCTACTCATGCCATCTTGCCAGGGGCCTGTTGCTGCTGCTGTTGTTGCTGCAGTGGCTGCTGCTCGGCGCGGGGAGGCGCGCAAGCTGCGTGGGGACTGAAGAACATCGGGGCAGCTGCTGTACTTTTGCTGCCGCGGGTTTGCTGCTGCTGCCGCAACAGAACCAGCCGTTGTTGCTGCTTCTCCGGCGGCTTCCAGCTCAGCCAGGTCTGGAGCTTCTGCTGCTGCTGCTGCATCGGGGACAGCAGCTGCTGCTGCTGCTGCAGCGAATTCCCCTTCGTGCTGCATTGGCCTCAGGAGGGAAGCATTGCCTAGTCAGCATTGCTTGTGGCTGCTGCTGCAGCTGTTGTCGATGCTGCAGCAGCAGGTCCTGCAGTTGCAGCTGCAGCCGCTGCTGCCTTTGCTGCTGCTGAGCGACCGCTGCTGCTGCTGCTGCTAGAAATTTGTCTGCTGCAGCTGCCACGAGGCCCTGTTAATCTGCTGCGATATCATGATGTGTTGCTGCTGCTGCTGCAACACACGGGGCGCTGTTGAGTTACAGCGCGTGTAAGAGTTGCTGTTGCCGTTGCTCTTGCTGTTGCTGCTGCTGCTGTTGCTGCTGCTGTTGCTGCGGGCCGACAGCAGCAGCTGCCGCCGGGTCAATTAGCTGCGGCTTTAGCAGCAGCAAAAGGCAAAATGTCCTGTAGTTCAATGGAATTAATAATAGCGACAAAAGGGTGCATTTGCTGGCAGCAGCCTTTGTCGCATCGGCAGTAGCTGCCGAAGCAGCAGCAGCTGCTGCTGCTGCTGCTGGGGCTGTCTGCAGCGCCTGCTGCTGCTGCTTCCGCTGCTGCGCCGAGGGCCTCTGTTTGCATGCGCCCCGACTTCTGTCCCCAATTAAGTAAAAACTGCAATGTTAAAAAGGGCAGCACAAGAAGAGAAGAAGTCCTGTTTGCTGCCACCTGCAGGGGCTTTGCTGCAGCGAGATCTACACGGTAGCAGCAGCAGCACCAGCAGCAGCAGTTGCTGCTGCCACGGAAGGGACAGCAGCAACTGCAAATTCCCTCCAAGCTCCGCCTTTGCTTGTTGAGGCCTCCAGTCTTTGAAGAAAGACAACCCCACAATCAAGGTGCAGCACCTGCAGCACCAGCAGCACTAGCAGCACCAGCGGAAACCGCAGACGACTGTGGTGCGCCTAAGGGACTCCGTTAGTGGTTGCGACGATCCACTGGAGCAGCCTCACCAACAGCAACAGCATTATTACCAGCCCAAGGTTTTCATTGCTTGGTGCCTTTGGCATGCGAACCCTTGATCCTGAAGCTACGGAGAAGCAACTGGAACAGCAGCAGAAACAGCAGGAGCAACGGCAGCAGCAGCCGCAACCGAAACCAGGGATGGCGCTAAAGGAACCGGAGCAGCAGCAGTCGTTTGTTGCTGCATTTGTTGCTGCAGTAGATGAGGCGCTGCAGCTCGAGGTCCCCTTAGCAGCAAAATGGTCTCGAGTTCCTCTTGGCCTTGAGGGTTCGTCCCCGCCCCACAGTCTTCCCTAAAGCCTCAGCTAGCTAGCCAGCTATCTAGCTAGCATCTTATCGACATTGTTGATAGCTGGATAGCTTCCTGTGATGCTGCTCAGTCCTGTAGGTAGCGGTATAGCGAGGAAGGTTTAGGGCTTAGGGGGAACCACAGGAGCCAACCCAGAACCCGAAACCCACAACCCTTAACTCGAGTAGGAGAAAGCAGCGTGTGTATGTGAATTGTTGCAGTGCTATGTTGCCTGCAGTCCCCCAACATCTCTTCCAGCTAGCGCACACACCTAGCTATTAGTTGCCGTTTGTGTAGCACGTTGGATAGTTACCGGTTAGCTAGCTAAGGTGCAGTTATGTGTGCATTGATGTTACACCAGTTATGTGCCAGCTAGGTCATAGTTAGTGGAGTCGGCGAATGTAGCGGTTGGTTATCTAGATTGCTATCTAGCTATCTAGCAAGCTAGCCAGGCGAGCAATATTGCTGTCTAGACACCGAGCTACTTAGCTAGCTGCCCGACCGTTGCCTAGGCTGGTTGGTAGCCTGTTTTCGTCTACCTAGTTATGTATCTATCGGCTAAATAGCTATCCGCTTCTAGCTAGCAGCCTGGCGACTCATCATCTATCCAGGTAGCTAGCTATGTAGCTAGGTAGCTAGCTAGCTTGCAGGCGGTGTGTGTGTGGTTGTGAGCAGATGAGGGGCGTTTGGGTTTGCTACTGCTGCAAGACGGCCGCGAATTTGGAGGAATTTCTTTTGGCTGCAAGAAGGCTGTCTCGGGAGAGGTCGTCTTCAATACCGGTAAGCCCTCACCCATAGACCCTAGTAGTACCGAAGGGGAGGTCTAAAGCGCCTTCAGCCATCTTTCCCCTTTCAGGTGCACATGGCCGTTGCTGCATTTGCTTTTTCTGGCTTGGCTGCTGCTACATTTGCTGCTACTGCACGTCTGTTGCTGCCGCATCCGGTGCTCCTGTTTCATCTGCTGCTGTTGCTGGATTGGCTGCTGCTGTTGCAGGCATGGTTGCGTATCCTGAGTCTTTAACCGATCCTTCTTACTCTGGACAAATTTTAACTTTGACTTATCCTCTTGTCGGCAACTATGGCGTCCCCTCTCCAGAAACAGTGGGCTGCCGTCTTGCTGCCGCTGCTGCAGTTCTGCTTCTTCGGCAACTGTATTGCTTTCCCTGACCCTCTTTTCCTTCTGCTGTTTGTCTGGTCCCTGTGGTGCTGCTGCACGCCATGTTGATGTAGCCACAGACATGCGGTGTGCTGCTGCTATTTCTGTGTGGTCTGTGGCGGTACGGCTGTTGCTTCTGCTGCATTTTGCTGCGGCTGCAACTTATTCGTATGTGCAGTGTGTTAGTGCTGCTGCAGTTAAATTGGTGTGTGTCTGTTGTATGTGGCGACTTATCTGCGACTCCTCTTGCACCTTGATGTTGCCGGCGCTGCTGTAGGACGCGTTGGGTCTGCCGCTGCATTTAGAAGGAACTCGAGTCCATGTGGGGGCTCTGCTGGCAGCAGATTATGTTCCTGCAGCTCTAACACACTGGAGAGCAACAAAAAGCTTAGGCAGTTGGCTAGAGGAGCAGCAAGTGCCTGCCCTGTGGGGTCTAGACACCAGAAGCCTCACCAAGCATCTCAGGGAGGTCCGGCTGCTTATGCAAGCTGCTGCTACTGCTTTGGCTGCGTCTACTGCTGCTGCCATAGACAGGGTCATAGTTCGCGCTCAGTTCTAAAGGCTAACGATTTGTGCCGAGGTTGCGTTGCTTGCCTTCTGGTAGTGCTACTGTTGCTGCTGCGGCTGCTGCGGCTGGTTTTCCGGCAGTAGGAGCGACGGAAGTGGTAGGAAGAACAGTAGCGTTAGGCATATTTCCGGTGTGTGTGCAGGTGGGGTCGATGCTAGGGAAGGTAGTGGTGCTTTCAGAGGAGGAGGAGAAGGAGGTCGAGCAGCAGCTGCTGTCAGAATCAGCAGTGGCAGCAGTAGCGTCGCTGGCATCTCGCCTTGAGACGTATCCGGCGGTGCATAAGGCCTTATCGCGCTGCTGCTGCCGCGATCAAATGCTGCTGTTGCTGCAGCAGCGGGCACAGCGAGCAGCAAGGCTGCAGGCGTGGGCTGCTGCTCTCAAGGCCGCAGGGGATCGTCTCCCCCTAGACGATCCCAACTCCCGTAACCTTGTCGCAGAAGTGTCTCCCGCAGAACCCAAAGTCTTCGTCTCTCCTGTCAATCCTTCCGTCCGTCTTGGTGCTGTTACTGATGTTTCTGCTACTGGTTCTCCTGCTGATGATGCTGCTGGACGTTCTGTTACTGCCTTGCAGTCTTCCATCTTGCTGCCTCTTCGGGTTCTGCTGGTGCTGCTTCTGGCGCCACCAGGCCAGCAGGAGTATTTGCTGCTGTTGCGGCACTGGGGTCTTCCGTCTGTGCTTGTTCTCACTGTTGCTGCTGCTGTGGTTGCTGCTGCTGCTGCTGCAGTGCGAGCAGGTACGAGTGTTGGCACTTGATTGCGGCATGAAGACAAACATATACAGACAATTCCTCTACTCGAACTTCCCTGGATGCAACGTCGTCCTTAAGGTAGCTCCCCCTGCTGGTTGCTGCTGTTGTTGCTGCTGCTGTTGCAGTTGGTGCTTCCCATGTTGCTCTTGCTGCTGCTGCTGTAACGGGCAGTGCTGCTGTTGTTCACGCTTTTCTTGGACCAGGCATCCTTTTGTATGATTTGTGGGTGCAACGTTGCATCTAGCTCTGTGGTTGGTGCTGCTGCTGCTGCTGCTGTTTGCATGCAGGCAGTGCCTTGGGACTACGACTTCAGTGGAGAGTCATATGATGGCCTCTTTATCAGTAACGGACCAGGAGACCCTACCAAGTGTGATGCCACCATTAGGAACATCGCGTGAGTGCTCCGCTGTTGCCGTTGGTGCTACAGCTGCCGCTCCTGCTGTTACACCTGCTGCTGCTGCTGGTACAGATGCTGCTGGTCCTGCTACCGCTGCTGCTGCTGAGGGTGCTGTCGCGTGTTCGTCGCCCGCGCCCCCCCTTTGCTGGGATTATGCAGGGCTGCAGTACTTGTTGCAGCTGCATATACTGGTGTTGCTGCTGCTATTGCGGCTGCTGCAGCAAGGCTTTGAAGGAGGAGAAGCCGATATTCGGTATTTGTCTTGGCAACCAGCTGCTCGCCCTTGCAGCTGGGGCAAAGACCTATAAAATGAAGTTCGGAAATAGAGGTGAGGGGGGCGTGGTGTTGTTGCTGATGCTGATGCTCCTGCATTTGCAGCTAATGCTGAAAATGCAGTGTCAGCAGCTAATGCTGCACAAACAGACCATTAGTTGTGTCTCTGTCTGTGTACGTGTGTTTCCTTATCTGGATGTGTCTGTGGGGCTCACATTTTCTCCCGTGTAGATATTATTTCAGAAACATAGTCTATTTCTGTGTCCTTTTCTTTTTGTCCGTTTTTCTGTCCTTTAATCCTCTTCTGTCATCTCTTCTTGTGTGTCTCTATTTCTGGTTATCTCCTCATCTAGTTGTCTTGTTTTCCCTTTCACATTCTCTGTCTCCTCCTCTCTTTGCTTTCTCCTGTGCTCGTCCTCAATTGTTTATTTGATCATTTATTTAGTTACGTTTTCTTCGCCTGTTTATGTAAGTACAGAACCAGGACATACCTGCGGTCCGTTTTTACGTTGATATTTCCTTTTGTGTGCCTCTATTTCTTTTTTTTGCTTCTTATTCGTACGTATAGGTTTTGTATTTGTGTTTGTTTCGTATTCTCGTTTTTGTTTTTCTCCTTTTCTTTTACTTTTTAGGAATGAATCAACCGGCAATCGACCTGAGAACAACGCGTTGTTATATTACTGCACAGAATCATGGCTTCGCTGTTGACACGGGTACATCATCTCTCGTGATGCTGCTGCATCTGGTGCTCCTGCCCCTTCTGTGTCTGCTGCTTCTGTATCTGCTGCTACTTCATCTGCTGCGATAGCGTCTGCTGCTCCTGCTGCTTGCTGCGCCTTAGATGCTACGTCGTATGTTGGGTGTTTCTGTTTGTCCTACTGCTATTCTGTGTTGTGTTCTGGACTGTATGCCTACCTCTGCTGACCCCCAGATCCTGGGAAGAAAGGGGTGCACGCTGCAGCCCAATTAAGTACTCGCTGATCATTTTCCCTTTCTTCGCAGGAAGTTTGCCTTCTGATTTTGCTCCCCTCTTTGTAAATGCTAACGACCGCAGCAACGAGGGAATATCCCACCGCTCAAAGCCTCATTTTGCCGTCCAGTTCCATCCGGAGGCATCAGGTACAGTCCAATGGCCATGGCTAAGAGCACCGTTTGCAGCTTTCCATTAAATAGTGATAAAAAACATTAGTCATTTGTCACGACCTACATATATCGAGCTTCTACATAACACAACACGCATATAACAGCATAATAACTGGAAGAAGCTGCACATCTGTGTAGCAGCAACCGTGAAGATGTTCTGTAGCACTTTTGCTTAAGAGAACGATAATTAAACATAATGCAGTAGTCTTCTATCACTTTTTAGCAAGTATAGTTATACGTTTGTTACATTTTACAGTATGTTAACAATAATCAAATACGTATAAACTGCTCGTGCTGCTGCTGCTGCTGGCTTTTTTTAGGTGGTCCTACGGATACGTTTTTCCTTTTTGGAGAGTTTATCGACATGCTGCGGAGACAGCAGCAGCAGCACCTCTCAAGGTGTCTCTACACCATTCCTTACCAGTTCCCGTGCGCCTACAGGAAGGTGCTGCTTCTAGGTCAGTCCTGCGTATTAAAGCACGCGACAGCACCAGCAGCAGCTCCTGCAGCAGCACCAGGTGTTCCAGCTGCTGCTGCTGCAGCAACCTCTCTTGCTTCCTTGTCGTTGTGTATGCTGGTGTGCGTACTTTTGTGCGTCTGCAGCTGCTAATGCTGCTGGCGTCTGCATGCGGCCGGTGTGTCTACTGCTGCAGGCAGCGGGGGTTTAAGCATAGGCCAGGCAGGCGAATTTGATTACTCGGGTTCACAAGCAATAAAGGCATTAAAAGAGCATAATGTCTTTGTTGTTCTCGTAAACCCCAATATTGCTACCGTGCAGACCTCCAAGCAGATGGCTCACAGGGTACATACTTTTGCTGCTGCTCTTGCCGCTGCTGTTGTTCCGGCTGTTGCTGCTCTTGCTGCGGATGCTATCTCTGGTGCTGATTTACATGATGGGCATGCTGGTGCCACTCCTGGTACTGCTTCTGCAGCATCGGCTGGTGCTGTAGCTGTTGCTGTATTGTACCTGGGCCAGTTGATGCTCCGTTGCTGGTGCTGCTTCCGATGCTGCTGCTTTCCTTGCTGTTCGTGCTGCTCCGTTCCCTCCTTTTGTTGCGGTTGGTGCCGCTGTTGCTTCTCGACCCTCATCTACTGCCTCCCAAAGGTGCTGCTGCTGTGCGCGGCTGCTGTTTGCTGCTACAGGTTTACTTTGTGCCAGTAACTCCCCAGTTTGTGTCGGAGGTCATTGAAAAGGAAAGGCCTCAAGGCGTCCTCTGCTCCTTTGGTGGACAGGTCAACATCTCCACTAGTGCTGTTGCTGTTGTTGCTGCCGCTGCTGCTGCCTATACTGGTTCGGAGAGTGCTGCTCAGCATTGTCTGTCTGCTACTTTGGCTGCTTCAGACAGCACTAAACTGTGTTGTTGAGTTGCACCGCTCTGGAGTTTTAAAAAAATACGACTGCCAGGTTCTCGGCACCCCAATAGAGGTGAGCCTGGCATGGTTGGTGCTTCAGCCACTGCTTCTGCTGCTGCATTAGCAGTTCTGCACTGTGGGTTTGTGGCTGGTGGGGGGCTTGCAGTACGCCTCGGCCAGTGCGGGCTGCTGCTGTGCAGAAGCCCGCTGGCCCCCAGTTGCAGCAACTCCAGCAGAAGGAGCAGCCGCAGGTTGTTTGGTTGCGACGCAGACGATTATATCCACTGAGGACAGGGAGTTGTTTGCAAAGAAGCTGAAGGAGATAGGAGAGGAGGTCGCGCCTTCAGCAGCAGCAACCAATGCAGAGGAGGCCGCTGCAGCAGCGGCAGCAATAGGATATCCTGTTCTGCTGCGAGCCGCATTTGCTCTGGGTGATTTTCTTTTGCCGCTTCTGCTACTGCTGCTTGTGCCGCTGAAGCGCTGCCCTACGCGGAACCTTTCTGGGGTGTCTAGCGAGTGTTTCCCTTGTAAAAGGACACCGCTGGGTTTTGAACGGTTCATAGTTTAGGTTTTAGGGTTTCGTGTTTGGGGTTAAGCATAGCGTGTTAGGGTGGAGATTTTGTGTGCTTAGGAGGCCTTGGCTCGGGATTCGCAGAAGATGAGGCGTCTTTGCGTCGACTCTGCGCCGATGCCTTTGCACATTCTTCTCAGGTAACAGACATTAGGGTTTAGGGTCTAGTGCTTCGGGCTCAGCATTTGCGGTTAAGGGTTTACGGGTTAGAAAAGGGTTTGGGCGGGTGCTTCAGGTTTTCATAGACAGGAGCCTGAAAGGTTGGAAAGAAGTGGAATACGAAGTCGTGAGAGATGCAAAAGACAACTGCGTCGCCATCTGCAACATGGAAAACCTCGACCCTCTAGGTCCTTCATCCTGTTGCTGCTGCTGCCACGCAGCGTAGACGCGTAGCGAATAGCAGCTGCTGTAGTAGAGAACAGAGTAAAGTAGTTCTCATGGGGCCCGTGGCGCCAGCCAAGAGCCCTTGGTTTCAGGGCCTAGTGTTTAGTGTTTAGGGTTTAGAGTTTGGGGCGTACAGATGGAAAAGTCTCTGCGTGCAGAGATAGGGACAAGGATAGCTGGAGAGACAGAGACAGAAGTGCAGACAGATAGGGGAACAAGCAGAAGAAGGGACATAGAAAGATGCAGAGGGAGACAGGCATTGGGAAAGAATATTGTTTTCTTCTTTTTAGCACTCGTTTGTGTTGTGTTCTGTCTCTTCTTCAGGCATCCACACCGGTGACTCCATCGTCGTTGCGCCTTCTCAGGTGTATACACACCGCTGGTAGTGTTGCTGTTGCTGCCGGCTGCATTTGTATTAAATGTTTGCTGCTAGGCGTTTGTTATTTAAGTGTCTCCTCATGTTTTTTTCGGGTTTCTCTATGTCTTGCTCTGTTTGTCGTGCCTTATTCGAGTCTTTATCGCTGTCTGATTACTCTCAAGTTTCCTTGTCCCCTCCTTGTCGCAGTGTATATCTTGCCACTGTCCCCCCCCTCCTCTCCGTCTTCGGCGATATCTTTCTCTATTCCTCTGTCTTTGCTTCTCCTCTTAAACGTGTCCATTTTCTTCTCTTAGCCTGACGCCCCGCTTTTCCTCTCCATCATTCTGTTCCCTAACCTTCCCGTCGTGTGTCTGTCTAAACTTATGCAGACTCTAAGCAATGAGGAATATTATCGTTTACGCGAGTGTGCTCTAAAAGTCATTCGCCATTTGGGTATTGTCGGCGAATGCAATATACAGTATGCGCTCGACCCAAACTCGGACAAATATTATATTGTTGAGGTCAGCAGCACTACTACCTCCAGCTGAGGGATTAGGGTCTAGAGTTCAGGGTCGTAGGGTGAAGTCTTTGGGCCTACGGTTTGCGGTTAAGGGTTTGTGGGTTAGTATTTAGCTTCGTATATTGAAGGCTTTGGCCTAAGATTTATGGCCTAGGGTCTAGGGTCGTATATTCAAGGGTTTTGCATAGGGTGTAGAGTCTAGGGTTTAGTGGTGGAAGTTTATGTGCTCGGGTTTACGGTTTCGCGGCCAGGTGCGCCCATGCGCACAATCTTCTTACTGCAGAAACCTGCTGCATCTGCTGCTGTTGGGTGCATGCATTAATCGTCAGCTGCTGACGTTTCGACAGCACAATACTTCACAAAGAGTAAAACCACAAATCCAAGTACTACAGCAGCAGAAGCAAACTATTGCTTCTGCTGTAGTATTGGGTTTTGCTCTCTTACCTTCTGTAGCTGCTCTATCTTCTTCCAGTTGCTCTTGCAGTTCTTGCTGCTGGTGGTGGTGCTCAGGTGAACGCACGGCTCTCCCGCAGCAGCGCACTGGCCTCGAAGGCTTCTGGATATCCGTTGGCCTACATCGCCGCCAAGTTGGCGCTGGGTGCGTGTATATATATATATATATA